CCCTCCCTCCCTCTCTCTCTCTCTCTCTCTCTCTCTCTCTCTCTGACAAATAAATATCATTGGACAAATAAATATCAGTATCAGTATCTGTTTTTACCACTTTTGTTTTTCTTTTTGGCAGTCTCATTTAATTTTAATAAATGGCAAATACATATTTTCCAATAAAAACATGTGTGTGATATTTGTTCATGTCTTGCGGCTCTCAAACTTCTGATGTTTATTCTGTGGCTCTTACATTAAGCAAGTTTGGCCACCCCTGACCTAGACAATCTGGCATGCACTCCTGCACCTGGCCTAAGGCCCTGGCCCTTTACCTTCTCTGCTCCTGGGGTCCTTTGGGAGACCGTGGCAGATCTGGCATTGGGCAGGTCCATGCTGCAGCCTCATGGCTTTAGGGGGTGGCGCCAGTGCAGGCTCAGCGGGTGGTGCCCATGCCCACAAAGCTGGGTCCTTTCCAGAGAGGCACTGAGGGACCTGATCCACTGGGAGAGTCTGCCAATGTGGGGCTAGGGGCAGGTTGTTTTCTTTCCGTGCTTCACTGGGAGGGTCCATGACACTCTGCTCCAGAAGGTACATGATCCTAATTCAGTAATACAAGGATCAGGAAGTCAGTTGCTCTTGTGTATTTTTGTCTTGTGTCATGAGGGGCACCCAGGGCTTTCCCTGGGTAGTGTTCCCTGTTCACTGAAGCTTCAGAGAAGCAAAGGGAAAAAAAAAACTCCTAACCAACAGGACCTTCAGTTGCCAAGCACACATATCAATTTGTGTCAGAGAGAGCCAGTTTGGTGTAGTGGTCAGGAGTGCAGACTCTAATCTGGGAGGACTGGGTTTGATTCCCCATTCCTACACATGAAGCCAGCTGGGTGACCTTGGGCGAGCCACAGTTTTCTCAAAGCTCAGCCCCACCTACCTCACAGGGTGTCTGTTGTGAGGAGAGGAAGGGAAGGAGATTGTAAGCCTTTCTGAGACTCTGAGTGAAGGGTGGGGTATAAATGCCATCTCCTTCTTCTCCTTCTCCCTGAATTGGTATCATTAAAAATGTGTAAATGGAGTAAGAGCAATAATTTATCTGCTCCAGAACATTTATCCACCACTTCATAGTCAACCCTTTCCTTATAGAAACAAGATCTCCCACCAATTACCTCTTACCTTAAGTGTAGTAAGGATAAAAGTGCCAGGGATGCTATTGAATGGGCAAGGCTAAGGTAGTTAGGCAGGTACAGCTTTGAATGCTATCATATTTTGAACACACCAGCCATTATTCCTCCTTTTTATAGCCAGAAATGTTGTCATTCCAAAAAACAAGCACCCATTCTTCACTGCAAGCTGTAAGTTCACTGGCAAATCATAATGCCTCGTTTTCAAAAACTGCATGAATGGGGGAATTGGTAAGGACATGGACCTACTGGCTCCACCCTGGTTCTAGGTTCCATTTTGTCAAGTATTTCTGTCCAGTCCACAGGCAAGGGAAGCCTCAGGGACAAACTGTAAGCCAACACCCTACCCCGACATGAAGGAAGGGGAAGATCCTCTCCCCGCTGAGAGGGGCAATGGGGAATGTGAAGATGGGGGTCTTGTGATTGACATCGTGAAACGCCACCTGCTTCATCTCATAGTCCAAATAAATCCCAAGCTTCCGGGGTTTCTTCCGCAACGGTAGAGGAGTCTCGGGGACGGTGAGGGCTTGGTATTGGACCGGACACTTTTCTACGGCCCAGATGCCTTCTTTGGGGTCAAGGATGAGCCGCCCTTTCCTTTTCACGGAGTCCCTGGCCACCCCTACTGCCCAGTAGCCCTCCTCTCCCACCTCCACTTCCCAGTAATGTCTCCCAGAGGAAAACCCCTCCCTTCCCAACACGCAGCGTTCCGGGTCGAATCTCTTGGGGTTGTCAGGCAGTCTGTGCCACATGAACCCTTGTATCACGTTCTTGTGGTCTGCAGACAGGATAAGCTCATGGTTCGCTGTGTCTGGATCCAGGGTTATGTTTGCTGCGGGGTGGGGCAGGGGAGAAGAGAGAGAGAGAGGAAATGAAAGTGTAACTTCCACAGTGACTGATGCAGCTCCTCTTGCTAATCAATCATGACTAGAGGAGAGAGCCAAAATGCTGTATGAGAGTGCTGAGTCACAGGAGCATGTAGCATCCGCATTCCTTCCAGGGACTGGACATACAAGTGATGTGGAGCACTATCAAGTCACAGCCAACTTACAGTGACCCCACAGGGATTTTTAGGAAAAGACACACAGAGGTGGTTTGCCATTGTTTACTTCTGTGTAGAGACCCTAGACGTCCTGGGTGGTCCCCCATCCAACAGTCAACCACAGCCAACCCTGCTTAGCTTCCAAGATCTGACAGAAGTGGGCCAGCCTGGTCCATCCAGATCATGGTGACTAAAGACATACAGGTGCCCTGTGCCAAACACTGTTCCATCTAGCATGGTGCTGCTTCTCTGGTTGGCAACAGCTGTCCACAGAAGGGTCTTTCCCAACACTTGCTACCTGTCTTTTAATTTGGCATGGAACATGGATTCCTGTGTTCAAGGTACATGCTCCACCACTGAGTCACACAGCTTCTCCCCTTTAAATCTCTCCCAGAAATGACACTCTCCACCATACGCTCAGTTGCCAACTCCAATATGTGTGAAGGCTGCCTGTCAGTCACTCAGCATGGAGGAAAATTGAATCCAGCATGCAGAGAGCTATGTGCTTCAGAGCCAAGTCATTGATTCATTTGTTGTTGGAAATTTTCCATGACGAGAAACCCTCCTGGGGAATATGTTTCCTCTCATTGTAGTTTGGAATATTCCTAGACTTGCAGTAAGCTGGACACCACCAGTTATAAAAACTATTTCTTTTCAGTTTGATGTAGTTGGTTCTTAGTAGGGCCTGAAGGAACAGAATGTTTTCACAAGGGCTTTTTTTGTAGAAAAAGCCCAGCAGGAACTCATTAGCATAACTGGCCGCACCCAACAGCAGAAACTCATTAGCATATTAGGCCACACCCCGACGGCACAGCTCATTAGCATATGAGGCCACACCCCTGTGTTACCAGAAGTGTGCTCCTCCAGCCACACCCACCTTTTGCTGCTTATTCTGTTTACCTCGTTTGTTGTCAAAACCCAGGGCTTTTTTTGTAGCAGGAACTCCTTTGCATGTTAGGCCACACACCCCTAATGTAGCCAATCCTAATTAGTTCCTGCTGTTGGGTGTGGCCCATTATGCTAATGAGTTCCTGCTGGGCATGGCCAACTCAGGAGCCAGCCGGAACTCCGTTCCTGTGCGTTCCTGCCCAAAAATAGCCCTGGTTTTCACCACTGATAGGAATTGAGGAGTGCAAGAAATGCACCTCCTAGCTGAAACACCTCCATTTTGCTCAGCGGGTCTGGAGGGATGTAGGTATACCCCGATCAAAAATTCTAGCAAAGACGTCGGAGGACAGGATTCAGAGAGGGCCTCAGATGTATCAGAAGGGGGTAAACTCAGTAATGGTTTGGCAAGTGATGGGGCATAATACAAAAAACGATTCCCTTAAGGCTAACAAAAGAGTGTCTGAAAGAGAAAGTGACCTCCTCACTTTCTCTTAGGGCAAGGGACCCAAAGCAAAAGTATTTGCTAGACCGGGGATTTTTCCTCATTTATCTATCAAGAGGTAAGTTTTGGAACTCTGCAAATTCCTGTGTGTTTGTGCAGTTGTATGTATAGTAGGTTTTTGTGTGCCAGGAGAATAAACTGGTTGCTCTTTTGTGTATTATAACACCAGATATTATAGAGCTGTGAACCTCCAGGTGGGGTCTGGAGATCTCCCAGTATTCATTCATTCATTCATTTAATTAGATTTATAGCCCACCCTCCCCACATTGTAAGCTCAGGACGGGTAACAGCATATATGTATTTGCAATTAATGCAGATTTACAATATTAAAAACCTATTACAATACTCAATTTAAAATGCATAAAATCATCATTAAAACAGAAGATCTCCAGACTTCAGAAATCAGTTCCCCTGGAGGAAATGGCTGCTTTGGAGGGTGGACTCTGTGGCCCTGTACTCTCCTGAGGTCCCTCCCCTCCACACCCCAAACCCCGGCCTCCCCAGGTATTTCCCAGTCCAGAGCTGGCAACCCTATGACATTCATTCTTTTCAGGCACTGAATGGCTGCGACGGGAGGGATGATGACACCAGGATTGTGGTGGCAAGCTCCACCCCTAGCTTATACCTGGAAAATCTTATTGGTCCCTAAAGTGCTACTGGACTCGAATCTAGGATATATTAGATGCTGAGTGGTGGGAAAATGAGACCTCACACACAGCAGCAGGGTTTTTTTAATTGAAGGAGGACATTAAGACATTATGCTGGCTGAGACCCTGTTGTATTTCCCACACGGGTTGCATGAATAATACTGTGGTCAGACGACAGGCTTGGCACACCCCTAACTGCACCAGTTTAAGTTGTAGCGGGAAGGTTTGATCATCCTGAGTCAGCTTCACCATGTGCTCGCTCCGTGGTCATTCATCCAGATTAGTACTGCACCTAAACCACAGAGCGCACTGTCTGTTTGGGGTTTTTAAATTTTAAGGATGTGCATATGCGCTCATGTGCTCATCACTAACAACTCAACTAAAAAAGAATCCCAGGGCTGAGACAGAACTTAATGTTTACACTTCCCAACTGCCTTGAGTTCATGACACGGATGTTCAGACCTCTGGAAACGCGGAGTGAAAGCGCTGGCATCTGTAAAAACCAGTCTTTCCCCGGTGTCTGTTAACTCCGCTTCAAAGACGGGGCAGAACAGGCTGCCAGCGTCTAGGGCACGGAAGGCAGATGTCGCTGTCTGATTGTGCTCTTTAAATCCAGCAGCCAACAGCAACTACATTGGATCAAACTGCTCATCTGATTCCAGGTCACCTTACATGGTAAATATGTGATCTCACCACAAGAGGGCATTCAAATACAAGATGTATCTCATCAAACAAAACAAACCAATATATGGTAGAAGTCACCTGGTTGGGTAACTTTATCATCTCAAAAATCAATGTGAAAAATTTGTCATCAGGGAGCAGCAATAACAAGCATAGCTTGTTTTATTTCCTCCACAATGTTTCCCCTGGAATTAAACCCAAACAAATGGGGACCATATAAACCAAGCTTGTTATTCCAGTTTGGTCTTTGCATCTGTTAAACACCATGTATTACGGATTCATGTGGGTAGCCATGTTGGTCCAAAGCAGAATGAAATTTGAGTCCAGCGGCACCGTTAAGGCTTAAATAAAACTTTTTGGTCTTAAAGGTGCCACTAGACTCAAACTGTCTTCTTCCGTTTATTATGCTTATGCTAATTAGTTAATTGCTAATATGCTTATGCTAATTTGCATGGACTGGTAACTTCCATTTCAATGTACCTGAAGATGTGTACGTGCATACAAAAGCTTATGCCTTGAATAAAACTTTGTTGGTCTTAAAGGTGCCGCTTGACTAAAAATTTGTTAAGCATAGCTAAAGTCAAGGGTCCCAAATATGGTATGGCCCCTTCCAACACCTTTCCTGGTGCCCAGCAAGTGTTTTTAGAAAGTGGGCAAGGCCAGGTGGGGCTTTTGGCCAGCAAGACTTCTGACTGGCCATTGGAGATTTGACTGGCTGTGTAGATTTAAAAAATTTGAAAACCATTTGGCAACCCTACTGGCTGTACAGATTTTAAATTTTTTTGCTTTGGCAGCTGCTGCTGCCGCAGCACAATGATCTTCACTGTGTAACTGAAAGTAAGCTGCTACAGCCATTTTGTGGCTGGCACTGCCTCTTTGTGGCTGCTGTTTTGTGGCTACGCCCACGACATTATGTCAAAATCCCAAAGGGGCCCACAAGCTGAAACAGACTGGGGGCTCCTGGCTAAAGAAATAAAATAATCACAAAGAAACTTATTACCTTTCTCTATTGGCACCACCATGTTTCTCCACCCTAAAAGCAAGCATATGAATAAAAATTAGCAGCCCTATGAAAATAGGAATCTTTGCTTAATATTAATATAACAGCCATCATCTTCATGATAAAAGAGGCGTTAGTTCAAAAGAGTAGTTGTCACCTTTCTCGTCGACAAGGCAACAATACCAACAATGTGATTTTTCTATAGTATACAAAAGCAAAGGACATTAGGACATAAGAGACATCATGTTGGATCAGGCCAATGGCCCATCCAGTCCGACACCCTGTGTCACACAGTGGCCAAAACCCAGCTGCCTCAGGAGACCCACTAGCAGGGACAGAACTTCAGAAGCCTTCCCACTGTTGTCCCCTGATCGTGGTGAAATCCTTTCTTTATTGGTGGGTGCTCCATTTTTGCTGCTTGGGTGATCATGACGGGTTGAGGGCAGGTATTTTACTATTGAAGAGGAGGAGGATTGTACAAGAAATGTTCATACAGAGAAAACACCTCACAGACATCGACACTTGAATAGGAACAATTCTGTATAGTGAACTGGGTCTGAAAGGCTGTTTTGCCTGAATTTGATGCATTGTCCAAGTTTGTAATCATGGGCAAGGTGAAAGTAATTTCCAGTTTCCCCTTGGAAAAAACTTGGTGCTTTGAGAGCCAAAACATTGTTTTTTGCATACCTCTTTTTACTTCTGAAGGAATCTGAAAATCTTTTAAAAGCAGGATCTTTGCTGTAAGCAGGGGTCATTTCCTGCAGAAGCGCACAGAAGCGGAGCTCTGGCAGTGAAGAGCCCAGGGGGCGTGCACATGCAACAAGCCCCACCCCCTGCTCCCAGCAGCCCTCAGTCAGAGCAAGAAGCAGTCAGGTAAGTTGCAGAGCCCCCCCGCCCCCCCCGGTCCAAAACAGTCCAGTGGCACCTTTAAGACCAAGTTTTATTCAGGTACAAGCTCTCCCTCCTCTGCGAGGTCAGGTCTGCACGTTTCCCCTCCCCCCCAATAGCTAGCAATCCAAAACAGTTCAGTGGAGCCTAAGCGGTGGGTGTTGCCTTCTGACACACTTCCGGTGACGTCAGGGGGTGTGGCATATCCAAATAAGTTATTCTAATTAGTTATGCTAATGAGCTCCTGCACCTCTTTTTCTACAAAATGACCCCTGGCTGTAAGCCACCGTGAGCAAGGCCTGGTTTCCGCTATTGGAGGTTTTACTGAATCAAATGTTTACCTCAATGCATTTAGACTAGGAGTAATTCTAAGTGGAGTTATAACCTTCCAATCGGCTTAGAAGGATATAACTCTGCTTAAGATGGCGTTTCCCCTTTCCTAGCCTTAATACTTGGGGCTACTACGGCTCAGTGGACTGGAAGAGCATCTGCTTGGAATGCAGAAGGTACCAGTGAAAGACCTCTACCCAAGACCCTGGAAAGCTGCTGCCAGTCGGAGTACTACTCTGACCCTGATAGGCCGATGATCTGGTTCATTATAAGGTACCTTCATGTCTCCCTGTGTAATTTATTGAAATAAATGTGTCTCAGCTACGTATTAGACTGTGGCCCAAATGCTGTATTTTTGAAAAGTTAATCACTTACCAAGCTCTGCAGCGAGTTTTCCTAGAATAAAAGGAAAAGCTGTTATTGCTACAGCAAATGTGAAACTATTCATTCCCATCGTAAGTTATTTGTAGGTAAGCCCTGTGATTTTTCAGTTAGTCTTATGCTAGAAAAAGTAGGAGCGAGATCACAGTCAAAATAATTACATCAGCATCGATAATTCAAATAATTGTGAGTAATCACAAGAATGATAACATGAAATAATTTAAATAATAATAACTAATCAATTAGGAGGAAGCAGGGGGTTAGAATGGGATTTAAAATATAGGAAAAAAGACATAGTTAAAATGTTAAAGGGAAATATTTTAAGCATTCTAACTTTTCAGGATGATAAATGATATATGTGGGGAAAAACATTTCCCCATATATACCATATTTGATATCATATCCTGTTGGGACTGTCACATGGACAAAGATCTACAGTTATTGCCAAATATCTCCTGCCACTTTTCTGTCATAATACTTACTGTTCATTTTAAACAAGTAAGAAATAAAGAGAGCCAGACCAAGTGAAACCACCAGGGATATACACAGACCCGCTATCCAGGCAGGTGTTTTGGGGAAAAGGTCACCTGAAACACAAAAGAACAAACAAACAGATGATTGGAAATCTGGATTTTTTAAAAGGGGGGCAAAATGTAAATCTGGATTTTTTAAAAGGGGGGCAAAAAGGGGGGGGCTTCACAATGTAAAAAGCACCTGGAACAAAAGCAGAAATCAACACATTCTGATGAATAAACAGCTGGATGCTGATTTGGGTCTCCATTCCCATGAACAGTGTGTCTTAAAGACTTTAATGCTCTTTAACTCTTAACTGCTCACAATGAGGCCTGATGCATACGTTGCCACGATGAGAAGAAAATTGAAAAACCAATGTCATTTAATTTAGACTAGAGTTGCTAGTAGCCAGGGGAGCAAAAATGATAATAATAGCAGTTGGGTGGGACATTATTTGATGGTGGAAAGTACCATCAAGTCTTATTCAACTTACGGCAACACCATGGTGGGGCTCCTGGGGGCTCAGCCCCCTCCCTTAAAGTGACAGCCCCACAAGATTTCCTCCCTCCCTTGCCACAGCTGGCAACAGAGGCCACGCAGCTGCCCCCTCTTTTCCCCTGCCAACTAGCTGAGCAGAGAGGGGGACTAAACTTTAAACCCCTACTCTGGAGTTGCGCTGCAGCAGTGGCACCATTTCTCCATTGTATCCAATATTCCCAGGGTCAGATCCTGATTTCCAAAATATAAGAGAGCAAAGGAAAGGGCAGTGGCAGCCACTAGAGAAGGCTGGTCCACAACCCACTTTCAGAAGCCTTTATGAGCCACTGTTTGGGTCCTGAGCCTCAGGCTGGGAAACAGGGCTCTGATACACATTTTGAGATCTGATTGGTTATATTCATTAAACCTGAGGGGGAAGCACCTGTGTATATCACTGACATTTTGATGGTCAGAAAACATGATAATAAACAGCTTTAAAAGGGGATCAGATAGATTCATGGAGGAAAAGTCTATCAGTGGCTACTGGCCATGGTGACTGAGGGGAACTTTCACATTCAGAGGCATGAAACCTCTGAATCCCAGAGTCAGCCCAGGAGGCAACATCAGGGGAAGGCCTCAGCCTCTATGCCCTGTTGTTGGCCCACCAGAGGAACGGGTTGGCCACTGTGTGAGACAGGATGCTGGATTAGATGGACTGGTCTTGTTGTAAGACCCCTATTCAACTCCTGCCAGCAGTAAAGATTCAGACAAATTGGTAAGAAATAATCAGTTTATTCTATTACAGTAGAGGTCTCTCAGCCCTCAGGATGAAAGACCGGATACATAGTTTGCAACTACATTAAATACATTCATAATGGTCTTGCCTCATCAATCTCCCCAGTTAGTACAAGACACCCTATCATATTTCTTGTTAGAATCCAGATGTGACGTCCTCCAGACTGAGTGGCAAGAGAGACTAGATAGCTAGATAGTCACACTGACCTTTCTGCGTGTTTATATTCTTCTGCCACTATCCGCTTTGAAATGCAGATTTAGTTCTCAGGGATCAATTTCCCCTTCCTCTTTCTCTCCCTCTAGGGTTGCCAGGTCTGGGTTGGAAAACACCTGGAGACTTTTGGGGTGGATCCAGGAGAGGGTGGGGTTTGGGGAGGGGAGGGGCCTCAGCATGGTACAATGCCACAGAGTCAACCCTTCAAAGCAGCCATTTTCTCCAGGGGAGCTGATCTCTGTCGGCTGGAGATCAGTTATAAAAGCAGGAGATCCCCAGGCCCCACCTGGAGGCTGGCAACCCTGTCTCCCTGAAGATGTGCTCTCTATCTGCATGCACCAAGAGAGGAACATGTGGTCCTCTCTTGGCACCATGAGGCAGATGGGCCTCTTGCTATCTGTTTCCATCCCTTAGCTAGTAAGTCAGTAATCTATCAGTCTCTGCTCTTTCCTATCCAAAGTGTACTTCTCAAATAAAGAGATAAGTGTTTATTTTCTAAACTTGCAATGTGGCTTTGTGTAGTAACCTGGTAAAGTGACACTCCCACGTTTGTAGCTTTATTCAAGCACTCTGATAACTAATGGTGACTGGACTAACCCCACCAGTTAACCTCAATATTTCTGTCATCCATGCTCCGTTCAGCCTCACTTGTTTGGCCTTCATAGATTCTTTCATCTCAGTTATTTTCTTATCCTTCTCAGTCTGATCCAGCAGGGCTCTTCTTAATAGTCTTGAACATAATTATACTGATTACAATCAGTTACATTTTGTCTTACCTAAAACTAAAAGAAAATAATATTCTATATAGTAACCCACAAACTGAACAGAACATCTCCACCTTTGGCATTCCTTTCTGCTTCACATCTCATTTCCTCACTGACATTAAATCGTTTTCCTACGCATCGCATGTTAAAAACCTAGGGGAGTCTTGAGAGAGTTGTATATGAAATTATGCATGGGGTGGAGAAAGTGGATACAGAGAACTTTCCCTCCCTCTCCCATAATACTATAAGTTGGTGGTAGACAGTGAAGCTACTGAGCAATGCATTGAAAGTACTTCTTTACTCAATGAGTAATTCAGTGGTGGAATTCAGTGTGACTATAGTGATGGCCATGAGCATGGATTTAGACAGATTCATGGAGGAGAGATCTATTAATCATGGTAACTAAAGGAAACTTCTAAATACCAGTGCTGGGGGGCAACATCGGGAGAAAATTTCAGTGTGTGACAAATCACTTGTACAGCTTGTAGCCAGCCAGAACCACAACTGCTGGCTCAGGAGAAAATATGCATTTGTTGCAGCTAGTTTCAAGAAGGTAACGCAAGTCAGTTAAGATAAGGATGTAGAAATGTGTGGATTGCTTCTCCTGCACCTCTAAGGATAATACTATACAAACTGTTTGGATTTGGACCTTGGGAGAACACCCAGAAGTGTAGCGGAAAGAGTCGCGCTGGGCCTTCCTCCTAGCGATTGCTTGTTTAGTTTGTGACTGTGAAGTAAGATGTTTTTTCCAAACGTCCAAGAGTCTCCTGAATTCCTTGACAGGCCTGAAGCTGAATAATTCTTGCTTTCAAACATGGATGTTTTGTGCAGTTGTATAATCATTTATAAGGACATTTTTGTTTTTCATACAGAATGTGGCTCACTGCTGTGGGGGAAGGGAGGGTGGAATAACTAGCTTGAGCAATGGGCCTTTTACCCATTCACTCTGCTTTCCTTCCCCCACCGCTGACTGGGGAAAACTGACAGGCTTATACTAGTTTACTCAACGGGGTAACACAGCTCAGAGAGGGGAATTTTCACTGTTATAAGGACATTTTTGGTTTTCATACAGAATGTGGCACATTCTGCTGTGGGGGAAGGGAGGGTGGAATAACTAGCTTGAGCAATGGGCCTTTTACCCATTCACTCTGCTTTCCTTCCCCCACAAAGAAACCCGCCACTGACTGGGGAAAACTGACAGGCTTATACTAGTTTACTCAACGGGGTAACACAGCTCAGAGAGGGGAATTTTCACTGTAGGAAAATGTTAGCCCAAATAGGGGACCCTCGTATGCATGAGCCAATAATACCGCCCTGAGTCTGCTTTGGCGGAGAGGGTAGGGTATAAATGAACAAACAAATAAGTATACACAAGTGACCGAGTCTGGAAGGAAAAGCAAAGTTTAAATGCAGTAAAGTGGGGAGAAACAATACAGTTTGTCCCAAGGTAGCTAGGTTACACAGTGGGATGTATATATGTTTTGAACTTACATTAAAATACAACAAAAAAGGTAGTAGTTATACAATGACCTTTCAACAACCTTTCATCTATCAATAAATTCATCAGCCCTCACATCTGGTAGTGAATACGTCAACTACACAGTTTTGTTGCAATGCTTTAGTACACCCAAGTTTGGCGTAGGAACATCTTGAGAGCCCTTCCATCTAGTTTCCTGTGCCAAGGTGTCCTGCTCTGTTTGCTGCCTTCTTTGATCTTTGCTTTCACATTTCGTTTCTTGTACGAATCGGCCTGGTCCTGCCACCTGGTCGGTCAGCACATTCCACCTACTCTGGGCCCTTTGTGACATTCGCAAAACTAAACTTAGCTCTATCAGTCCTCCATTTGACATCAACACTCAGTTTAGGAGCATTAAGGTCACTTTCTGGTTCCATCCCATATTGCTTATATTTCTGCTGTAGCATTATGAGCCGATCTTCTGGAATAGTTTGAGATCCTGATAAAACAGTACAACAACAAGCCATAACATGAGGGAAACAGTGTATCCCACAACATACTAAAAATCCCAAGGTCAGAAAGCCGAAACAAGCCAAAAAAATAATTCGGACAGTATCACCGTTTGGCAGCCCTACCCATAATTTACCTCACCACTCGGAGGATGTATCATGGGGTAAAGGTAAAGGTTTCCCTTGCTCAAAAGCCTGTCGAGTCCGACTCTAGGGTTGCGGTGCTCATCTCCGTTTCAAAGCCGAAGAGCCAGCGCTGTCCGAAGACGTCTCCGTGGTCATGTGGCCGGCATGACTAAACACCAAGGCGCACGGAACGCTGTTACCTTCCCACCGAAGTGGTACCTATTTATCTACTTGCAATTTCTTGCTTTCGAACTGCTAGGTTGGCAGGAGCTGGAACTAGAGACGGGAGCTCACTCCATCATGCAGCACACTCGGGTCTCAAACTGCTGAACTACTGACCTTCCACAGCCTGCAGTTCAGCATCTTAACCACTTGAGCCACAACATGGGGTACAGATGCTATATTCTGGATTTCTCTGGCAATATACACACAACATTGCTGCTTTATCAGCGCACATGTTCCCCCCTCCCCCATTGTTTTTGTCAACTGAAACAAATCATAGACTTTTAAAAGGAGGGTTTTTTATTTACTTCATTTAATAGCTTACACTGTTCGGCTCCCCTCCATTTTAAACTGTCAACCACACACACGATTTTTTTTAAAAATGTGATTCAGCCAACACAAAATTTTGACCACAAGGATCTACTCAGAATCCAACTCAAAGACTTCAGTCAGAGGGACTTACACTCCCAGGAAAGCTCTCTTAAGGTGGCACCAGCCCAGGCACTCTCTGCCTTAGCCGGTTGCAGTCACTGATAGGATTCCCTGTGCTTTTAAGGGCATACGAGTAAAATGCATCCTCCTCACGATGAATCGTCAATAAACTTGTCTATCGCACGACACTGCCGCTCTTTAGTCTGGTCTGAGTGGTTCCTCCCCTCTCCGGCCACCCCAAGGAAAAGAAACAAAAGCACCCGCTTCTTAGAGGGGTTGGGCTGCCTTGCTGCCTTCTGTGCAGACGAAAGCCATGGCTGCTGTTTAGCAGCTCCAAGATGAAGTCTTCTGCTCGGTTTGCTTATTGTCCTTCAAGCAGCCCGCGCCTATCCCCTACGCGGGCACAAGCACTGCCGGATTTACACATAAACTAAATAAACTACAGTTTAGGGCCTCGCAATCTGCTAGAGCCTTATTTGTCATTTTAAAACCCTTTAATTATGTAATTATACCTGTGATTTTGTAAACACATCCTTTATTATTATTTTTAATAAAAATTAAAAGACAATATATTTTCCAATATTAAAAAGGTGTATATATTTTAAATTTTTCTGAGACCATCTGATGTAATTTAAAACAGTAGGGGGCCTCTGGGTTTTGTATAGCTTAGGGCCTCAGCAAGTCTAAATCCGGCCCTGGGCACAAGTTCTGCCGCGCCTGCATCAAGCTTAGCTGGGAAGAAGAGGAGGGAGACTTTTCATGTGTTCAGTGCGGAGGAACGACCCAAGAGGGACCCTTCAGACTCAATAGGGGGCGGCTGGGGATTGGCGAATATGGTGGAACTGGTGAAATATCTGAACCTGGAAGTAGCAGAAGCCTCGCCGGTAGCCCCTGAAACTCTTCTGCCAGGAGGATGAGACCCCCATCTGCGTCAGCTGCAGGGAATCCCGCGACCACCAGTTCCATCGAGTACTTCCCATAGAAGAGGCTGCCTGGGTTTATAAAGTAAGATATTGCTGCTCTGAGGAGTCAGGATGATGGCAGCCACGGTTGTTTCACGTGTTTTCCGTTTCACAGAGAAAGTCACACGCTCTGATTTCTTCCTACTATAACAGCCTAGCGCGGCAGGAGGCGGAGGGATTCGGTCAAAGAGAGGTGAGGTAGAGGAGAGGATGAATTCAGTTCTCCTCACCCCTTTGGTGTTAAAATTCACCCCGTTTAGGGAAGAATGTAGCACACAAATATGGCTGCCGTTGACGAGTGCTTGAAATGGCCATGGTTTAGGGTTGCCAACTCCAGGGTGGGAACTACCTGGAGATTCCAGGGATGGAAACCTGGGGAGGGGAGCGTTTGGGGCGGGACCTCATTGGTATATAATGCCATACCCTCCAAAGCACCCATTTTCTCCAGGGGAACTGATTTTTGTCATCTCCAGGACATGCTCAAGCCACCCCTGGAGGTTGGCAACACATACCACTGTTTCAGTTTTATGTATGTATTTATTGAAGGTGACTAACACCAATGGAATAAAACAATGCATTCTAAAATAGTCCTTCCCTCCTATAGTGGTGGACAAGTAAATAAATAAAAAAAAATAAAAGTCGTGGAATTAATTAAAAAAACACCCACACCAGGAAAGGGGGGGGGGAATCTAAATTCTCAAATGGGTTCAAGAAGACCAGTTCTTATGAGGCTTCCAGATTCCAGTATGCAGTTCATCTGCCACATATCTGGGAACACCAAATGCTGAGTTATATATATCAAGGAAAGGCTATTTACCATTCTCCCCAGTGGATATCCAGAGGAGCTTACAACATCATTCCATTTTCTCTATTTTATCATCACAAGGACAGCCCTGTGGGAGTAGGTTAGACTAATACTTTCACACATGCGAAATAATGCAGTTTCAGTCCACTTCAGTGACTGTTTAGTTCACACAGTAAAAATCTAGTTGGAAAGTGCACTGAAAGTGGATTATTTAGGGTGTGTGAAAGCGCCAAAAGGTCACCTGGCCACTTCTATGGGAGATTGGGGACTCAAATCTAGTTCTCCCAGATCCTAGTCTGATAATCTAACTACTACACCATGCTTTTCTACATCATGGCCAGCATATAACCATCCCAGAGTCACATTCTTAGCTTATAGTCACTCTAACACTTAAATTTGTATGTCAAAATGGTAACCCATTTGGAAGAGACCACATAAGAACTCTTTGCCATCTTCATGTGGTTTACTCTCTAAATTTGGTATTCAGCGACAACTTTGGCTGTCTCGCTGCTCACCTTTGACTCTGTTCACCTCAGTTGAGAGTCACAGGCCCCCGTGTACAAAATAACTGGAAGCATTTGCTGGAAACTTACTTGCTATATGAATGGTTGTTTCCTTTTCTTTGTTAAGAAGAGTGTTCCTGACCACACAGGTTAAGTTCTGATTTGAACTCTGTGTGAGGATGATTTCATTCTGCACTTCAAAGAGCCCATTGTCCTTCTGGACGTTTCTTTCAAAAAAAGAAGACAGATTTTTCCCACTGGCATCTTTCCACAGCACCTCAGGTTTTGGGTACCAGCCACTGGACTGACAAACAGCTCGGATCCCTGCTTTCTTATAACCTGCGATGGAAATGAAAGGAGCAGGGCCTGAGGCTAGATCTGGGACAAAGAAAGAATCAAATTAATATGCAGATTCATAGATTCATAGTTGCATCAGTCTGTTCAAAGTTGAACTAAAAGATAGGTCTCAAGCCTGGGAAATTCATGGAGATTTGGGTGCAGATCCCTCCTCAGGCTTCACCTTCAAAATCTTCAGGTATTTCCCAATTCAGAGCTGGTAACCCCATTTAGTGACACAAAACTATTCCTCAAAGAATCACTATATTTTCATATACACAATTTGTAATAGGCTTTTTAATAACATAAAGTATTCCTCAAAGAAACACTATATTCCTCCCATATAACTTCTTGTATTTTCATATACGCTGTTATATAAATTTGTCCAAATGTCTTGGTGAAAATGTTTATAAGCTGTTATATGCAAGCTGTTATAACCAGGGAATGTGACAACCCTCTAGGGCAGGGGTGTCGAACTCGTTTGTTATGAGGGCTGGATCTGATGTAAATGAGACCTTGCTGGGCCGGGCCATGTGTGTCATAAAATGTAGTGCCAGGTAGTGGAGATACAAACTTTATAAAGGACACAGACAAACACAGTTAAACATTTTTAAAACTTTAAATAAAACATAAAAAATGTAATGCCAGTGCTTTACCAAACTCTCTCAATCACACAGGAGAGGCTTGCCTATCTACCTCTCCTGTGTGACTGAGAGAGTCTGTGATGTAGCAGCAGCAGAACTGGAAAAGGAAGCAGGAAACAGCCAGGGCCTTGCAGGCCAGATTGCAGCCCTCCGAGGGCCTGATCTGGCCCCCGGGCTGCATGTTTGACACCAATGCTCTAGGGCAGTGGTGGCGAACCAATGGTGCGGGTGCCAGAGGTGGCACTCAGAGCCCTCTCTGTGGGCACGTGTGCCATTGCCCCAGCCAGGCCCAGACCATCATTAAAGTGTCAAATTCTCTGCCAAATAATTTTAAGTAAATGAAAACATTTGGGATTGCTTTCCTTACTTTGTTTGGATCATCTTAAGTTAATGTATGAGTTGTTTTTTCTAAAGTAAAACCTCAGTATTCAGGTTAAATTGCCGTGTTGGCACTTTGTGATAAATAAGTCGGTTTTGGGTCGCAGTTTGGCCACTTGGTCTCTAAAAGGTTCGCCATCACTGCTCTAGGGTTTCCAGGTAACCTAGAGTTGCTAAGAGCCTGAGTTGCTAAGAGCCTGGGCGTTGAACAGCGATCACTGCGGGTGTGGAGGGGGAGGTATTTGTGAATTTCCTGCATTGTGCAGGGGGTTGGACTAGACAACCCTAGAAGTCCCTTCCAACTCTATGATTCTATGGGGAAAAAATCCCTGTCCCTCGAATAGAGGTTCAATGGGATGTTAATTTACTAGATGATTTTATGCCATGAAAAGTTTCAACTGCCCATTTCCCCACACTGTCCTGTCTCTTTAATAGAGGCTTTTTCTTCTCCAGGCAACTGTAAAGATGGGTTGATTTCGCACTAGAGCTGCCTCGCTGTTGCGCTGCCATTTGCCCCAGTTCTGTTGGTCAATTTCACACCTGAAGCCGCACGACTGATTTTGACCCGTGGCTTCGGCCGATTTCCTCCGCAGTTTCATTGATCTGTTTTTTGAGGATGAACGAAACTGCGGAGGAAATCGGGCGAAGCCGCGGGTCAAAATCAGCGGCGCGGCTTCGGGTGTGAAACTGACCAATAGAACCGGGGCAAACGGCGAGGCAGCTCTAGGTCTCAAAGAAGTAACAGCCTGGCCTGCTCCTTTCCTTTTAATAGAAGGTTGAAATAAAACACTTCAAAAGACACTACTAAACCGGATGGCCTACTAACTGCCACAGATCAAACTAGTATTAAGGGGGAGGAGCCAATTCAGTGACCGACAACCCTCCAACCACCCTCACCTCTCATGAGCTTCCCTGGCCTAGGCCATTTTCCTCACACGCTGCTTCTACAGAAGTCAAGGCAGTACGTATAAATATCTCTGCAAGGCACTGCCCAGACCCACACACATTTAAGCATCACAGAGCTGCTGCATCTCACACCTTCAGACCATAGGCTGAGGTCTGCAATGCTCCAGGGCTGCCAGAGACAGAAAGCCTACAAGGAATTTTGGTCTGATCCAGTAGGTCAATTCTTACATTTTCATTCCAGGTGTTGTGTTTTTTTTTTTTTAATTTCCAGAAGACATTTGTATCTAAATGTATTAATAGGCAGAGGAAAATAAAATACTTGAGTCAGGAACAATTGGATTTTTGTCAAAGCCCCCTGTAAGTTTCTTACCTGGGCCTACGCTGTTCACAGGGAAAACAATGAAGGGAAGAATGAGAACAAACAGGAAGGAACTCATTTCTGGATCACAAGAGAAGCCAAAAGTTTTCAGTTTCCTTGTTTTTTTAATTCTAACCACCAAAAGAGAAAACAAACACTGTAAAAAAAAGATACAAATGCTGTAAGTAATGCTCTTTGGTTATGTTACATGGTCATCTCTCTTTATATTTTTGTGTACAGTTATATACATAATTATAATATATTCCTTTACCTTATAAGTGAAGAGGAACATCATCACTGATATCCTGGGTATCCTTCAGTTTCCTGTTCCTTTGAATTCAAGTTGATTCTTAACTTTTCTCTTCCTCTTCATTCTCACTTGGTTGTAAAGCCCTCGGTCCCAAAGTTTTAGACCATCAAAGAAAGGTCAGACAGTTGTCACAGATCAAGAGTCTATAAGTCATATTCATCTTGGCTGGTCCTTATGCTAAGTCTACATAAGGAAGAACAAAGAGAAGAAAAACTTGTTTAGGAGCCCCCATCCTCTTGTTAGATGTTATGCTATTCTTCTAACGTTCACCATCCCTCGGCGCATTATCAATGGCCAACAGATGGGCTGGCCAAACTGGAGGGAGGCCAAGTG